GACTTTGCAATTATAAATAAACAAATCTTAAAAAAAAATAATAAAAAGAGTTGCTAGGGGCTGTGGGTAGGTTAGTGTTTTCCTGTGCGTGTGGGCCAAGAGGCCACCCCACTGGCCTCCATTGGTTGTCCTGCTAGGCTACCCGGGGGTGGTAACTGGGGCCTTTTGGCCTTGGCTCCCCTGCCTGCAGCCAGCAACCCTCCCAGGTAAATGGCCCAGCCTCACTGCTCTTCTCTGATGGTCCAGCTAAAGCCACCTCCCTGAAGCCAGTAGGCAGTACACACATATCATCCAAGCTCATGGGAATCAATTTATTTTTTAAAAAATTTTTATGTAAACTATAAAGGAAAAAGCCAGACCATGAATATGGCTACTGGAGCTCTCTTTAGATCTAAAATAATAAACAGGCAGCAGGAAAATGGCATGTAACTGTTAGAAGATAGTTCTCGGGCCTGGCACCGTGGCCTAGTGGCTAAAGTCCTCACCTTGAACGCACCAGGATCCCACATGGGCACCGGTTCTAATCCTAGCAGCTCCACTTCCCATCCAGCTCCCTGCTTGTGGCCTGGGAAAGCAGTCGAGGATGGCCCCAAAATCTTGGGACCCTGTACCCGCGTGGGACACCTGGAAGAAGTTCCTGGCTCCAGATCGGCACCGGATTGGCACAGCACCAGCCGTTACGGTCACTTAGGGAGTGAACTATCGGATGGAGGATCTTCCTCTCTATCTCTCCTCCTCTCTGTATATCTGACTTTAGAATAAAAATAAATCTAAAATAAAAAAGAAGACAGTTCTCCATCAATGGTGATGAAAGTGCAGAGACAGGGGGGACAATGTGCCCTGGTCATTTTGTGCAGAGCCTGCTGGAACTGGAGGGTCCCCCACCCACCCCGCCCTGGGCTCCTGCATCTACCCTCAAGATTCCTGCAGTGCTGCCTGGGAGGTGGTGTGGCCTTAGCACGCTCACTCTAAGGTGGAAAAGCAGCCTAGGGCATCCCTCCCTGGGACTCCAGGATACCCAGGATGGGGAAGCCCTGGGTGTGGGATGTTTTGGGGGAATGAGCCAGATAATGTCACTGATGAGGAGCCAGGGGTGGGTGCCAGGGTCACCAAGACAAAAGCTTGTGTGTGTAGCAGGGTGCCTGCAGGGCATGAGGCTCTCCATCCACTATCCACTCTCACGGCAGTTCTGAGGGTACCCAAGGAACCCCCAGCGTCACCACCAGATGGCTGCCCAGCACCAGTCACCCTCCCCGTAGGGTCTCACTGTGTCACGCAACTCTACCACTGCTGGCTGAGGTGTAAAAAGATCTGAGACGCTCAGCAAAGCCTGGCTCTCCTCCCCCACTTCCACCTGTGTGGAACTTTCCAGAACAATCCCAGCCCTGTGAGCACACCTTGTCAGCATCTGTTATTTTCCAGTCCTACCTCCTCTAGGATAGATGCCAAAGTTTATCCCAGGGGTGCCCTGGACAAACCTCCATCTGCTGGCTGCTCTCCTGTTTGCCCCAGTAGGAGGGGACCAGCCTCCAAGATCCTTCCCCAGCCCTGCCCTCCTCTGGACTTGAAGAGGCCTGAATAGAACGCGTCCTCCCTGCAGCCCAGTCTCCCAGCAACTTCCCCTGGAGCCTAAGGTCACCGGGTTGATCGCCTGAGGAAAGCCCTCATGCAGGTGGCGTCCTAAGCGAGGGTCCCGGGCTTGTGTGGCCCCCAGGCTGGCACCTGCCTGCTTAGATACCTGAGCCCTGCCAAGGGGCAGTCTAGTGGAGGGTGGGGTGAACAGGAAATGGGGGGGAAGGGAAGGAGGCGCAAGACAAAAGGACATTGTGATGGTGCTTTTTCCGGTTTTTCTTTTTGCACAAAAACAGTCCATTTATTCAAGTGTTGTCCAGCACAAGTACATTAGAAAGGAGCTTTTATTATATTTTTCTGGGCACAAAAAAAAAAAAAAAGAAAAGAAACCTGTGATGAAGGCGGAACTGACAGACTACATTGGCTGTACGCATTGACCTCTTTAATTATTTCATCAACAGCTATGTCACGAGCATCACTTACACAGATACAAGGGGCACCAGCAGGCGGGGTGGGGACCCGCGCGGGGGGCCCTGCTCCAGCCCCCCTCCCTGGATGGCCCAGAACCAGACTGTGAAATGTACATTATTATTGTCAATAAATAGAGAAGCAACCCTAAAAAAAAAAATAATACAGTGGTGAAAGGATGCCGGAACCAGGAAGAGTAAGAGAAAAAAAAGGGGGGGTGTGAAAGGAGGAACTTAAGATAGATGGGGGCCAGGGCAAGTCTGGAGGGGGGCCGGGGGTGGGCAGGGCAAGTCTGGAAGGTCCTGCATTTAGCTGCGTGGAATGTGGAATAGTGCTCTGCCACCAGGGGTCAAAGCAAAATCATCTGTAACAGTAAAAGTATTACCAAATCAGCTACGGAGTTTATTCTTCAGTATGAATACATGATTTCCCACAAATAAGTAAGCACCCGCTACTTCAATGCCTCAGCTAAAACACATGAAATCGCTTTTAGTTTTCAAGTACAAAGTTAAAATGCCTTTTTTTAATAATAATATATCAGAGTAAAATAATAGTCTCTTTTAAACTCCACTACGAGAAAACAAAACAAACAGTCATTGTCCAGACAGCAGACTTAATTTAACAATATATATTTTTAATAAAATGTTTTAGCACCTTGTTGAGTCACCTCCTCCCTCTGCGTATTCTAAAGAATTTCAGTGTTTGTGTCTGTCAGATTCTAGGGCTGTGCAACCAAATTGGTCTGCAAAGGGGAACTGGGACGAGGGGGCTGCTGTAGGCCACTGCTCATGTCCTTGGACGCCAGCTGGAGGCCACCAATGGGAGCCACTCTCCCACAGGAGGGGCAGGGGAGGGGAATCTTCCAGTTACCAGAGTTTAAGAGACCAGGGGCTTCCAGGCGGGAAGTGAGTCCCCAGCCTGAGCTGAGTTAGCTAAAGGCCCCGTCTTCCTGACCTGTTGACTAGATTCTCCCTGCTCCAAAACGCCACTGCTGGGGTCCCAGACAGACTGGGTCTCTGCAGCACACAGGCCCAAGGCCCAAGGCCCCAGCCTTTCCTAACCACAGCACAGTCGAAGCTCAGGCCACAGCGGGGCGGGCATCCTGCTGCAAGCAACCTGGGCCCCTTCCTCCCCGGAAGCTGCCACGTACAGCAAATCCCTGACTTGGCTGGGAGTAGACGCAATGGTTTGGTCCTCTGGTACCCTGCTCTGGGCTACCCGCTTCTGAACTCATTTTCCATTCCCTGCCCAACGCAGGCCCCCAAAGGTCAACTTTAGCATTACCCTCCACTCACAAGTAAGCTAAAGAAGCCAGATGACACCTGGGGACCATCCAGCCCTAGAAACCGAGGGGTAGCCCTGCCTTCATACTCTGCTCTCACCAGGTCCTCTGCCTTGCTGGCCCTGACAGGGAACACAGGCGTCTCCTTGGAGCCCCACCCACAGCCTCTAAACCACACCAGTGACACAGCACCTCTGACCAAGAACAGCCCCAGGGGCTCAGAACAGCTTCCAAGATCTACTCTCAAGATGCCAACATCACCAGATCTGTAAACACCCATGGTGGCGCTTTTGCCAAAACAGTTTCCTGGCTATTGAGTCAGTCTTTTCTGCGGGGGTGGTACTGGGCACTCCCATGCAGCGGCTGAGACGTGCGGGCCAGCGGAATTGTGAGCTGGGATTACCTGGCCCAGCCCACACCTGAGCATGTCTACCTGCCAGCCACATCCAGGATTGGTTCCATAGGCAAGGCCCCATGGTTCTTATGATGGATATCTGCTCAGCAGCAGGATGTGCAATGCACAGTACCAAGGCGCTGGGTCGAGTGCCAGGCAGCTGGCCACCTCTGACCGCCACCCGCCACTGCTTACCTACCCCATGCATCAACTGCACGGTCTTGTGTGGAAGGGGGTCAGCTTGGAGCCCACACGGGCTCAGGGGCCACCTGTTGCAAATGAGAGCCCTCCTAAGGCAGGGGGCTGGGCTCCCTGGCCCTGGTATGAGCACCTGGTGGACTCTTTGGCACCATACCCCACTTGACACCTGTGGTGGGGGGAAAACTCCAAAGTCCTGGTTTCCAGGGAGAAACAGGTCTGTTCTTTGGGAACACTCCTGGGGATTCTTTCTGGGCCTGGTGGTGCCTCCACCAGGTACAGTGTCACCACCTCACTGGAGACCCCCTTCAAAGCTCTGTGCACTCAAATGAAGCTCCCTATGGTTTAACAACGTCCCAACTGACCCACATTGGCATGTTCCAAAGATCCCCTACCATATCCCAAGGTCTACCATGAGGCCAAGCCCACAGGTCGGGCTGTTAGGAAAGCTGGTGATTGTGACCTCTTGTTCCTGTGAGGGGGACCCTATCCCTCGAGGTAAGGGATACAGTCTGGGGGTTTGTCAGGTGCTCTCCTGTAGCCACAAGGTTCCCATTGTAGGCAAGCAGGCACCCACACTACTATCCTGAGGTCCCAAGTTTGGCCAGGTTGCTGGGAAAGGCCAGTTCTCAGAAATGCTGGGCAGAGGGCTCTGGAGCACCAGGAGCACTGAGAGGCCCACCAAGACTCTGTCCTGGCACTGGGGCTGGGAAGCCCTTAGCCAGCAGGGGAGGGAGCACCTGGACTGCCTGGAGGCAGCCCTCCTCCCCAACCTGCCCTTCTGGGGTAGTGCTGGTGGGCTCCAGTCCAGGAAAATGGAGGTGGAGGTCAGCTGGAATAAGGACAAGGTAAGCACCAGTTAGCACGGGCCTTCCCCTCTCCAGGTCACGCCAGCACCGTGATGGGCCTGGTCACCACCTGCTGGGCCAGCAGAGCAGGCAGCAGTGTTTGATTTCAGCCATTCACCTGTGCAGGAAATGAGCTGACTGGGGTTCTGGGCCAAGCATCCCACAGGGGAAGGAGGCCATCATCAGCTACAGGCAAGCCCGGGCCATGAGCAGGGATTCAGCTTGATTTTCAGATTAATTTGCTTGAATCACAAAGCACGGTTCACAGTCCCATCTGTTTCCCAATGGAAGCCCCACAGCCAAGACAGACAAGGATGTCAATTGGATTTTGAATGGGGAGAATAGGTAGGGGGAGGTGAGGGCTGACTTGACTGGTGCCTAAAGTTGCAGGTCAGTATCACAGGTTGCTAACAGAAGAAATCTTTTGACATCACCAGGGGCAAAAGAGATAGAACACTACCTGTTTAGAGGAGAGCACCTGCTAAGATATATCCTCCTCCTGTTCCTGCTTTCAGCACCTAGCAACTTCTGGGAGTGACCATCTTCCTGCAACCAGGGCAACAGAGATAAAAGAGCTGCGCGGCTGACCACATGGAGCCCGACTGCCGGGTGGGAGAGCTGCATTGCCCCTGGCCTGTGCATGAGCAGGCTCCATGGACTTCAGCCGGGAGTGAGCTTCCTGTGCACATGTGCGAAACTGACTGCCACACCAAGCCTGCTCCCCCTACCCCACTCCCTAGTATTTCTTATGTGACCCTATCTATGTACTTATATAGCGCCTATCACCATAGGCCATCTTTCTCGGGATGCAGACCAGGGACCATGTGCTTTGCAGCACACCTCCCAGTCCTGACGGTCCCAGGAGGTGCCGCCCACCCCTCCCATTATAAAATATATATCTCTATATGCCACATATCTACACCCCAGCCACCGAGGCAAGCACCACCCATTGGGCCCTCACCCAGGAGCCTTCCTACTGCCACCACCACCACCACCAGGCTGCCTGCCTCAGTAGGAAGCGGGACAGTGTCCCTTGAGCACTTGGGGCTCCAGGTGCTACTGCCTCCCACTAAGGGCACAGACCAAGTACTAGAAAAGAAATACACACCACTCCAGTCACACATGCGCGCACACACACATACACACGGAGAGAGCCGGCAGGGTCTCCCTCCAGCCCTGACACACCTGACCCAGAGGAGGGGAAGTAGAAGAGAAGCCGAGGAGCCATGAGGCAGCCCTCGGTGCGCTGGGCGGCCCACCTGGCCCAAGGGGCGCAGAGCCAGGGCACCCGAACCGCCGACTTAGAAGCACCCTGCTCCCCACACCTTGGCTTGAAACCTGAAGGGAAGGGTGTCGGGGGATTTTGTCTTCTTAAAGAAAAATCTGAAAACATAGTGATAACCAGAACCATAAGCATAATAACAAGAATAAAGATGTCATTAGCCTCCCAGTATAAAACTGCAGCCTGCAGAGATGATCAAAAACATCGCGTTCCAGGGTACACGGCCACCTTGTGCGCGGGGTGCCGGATGGCGGGGCCTCATAAAAGAACACACAAGAGGCGACTTAGACGGGAAGCACCAGTGCGCGTTGTATGTTTTTTTATTTGCTCCAGGTGGGGACCTGAACTGTCACTTGCCCACACTCTAGATCCTTTCTGACCCCACAGCAAAAAGCCCTTGGCTTGGCTGCAGTGGGATAGTGGGCAGGGAGACTCCAGTCTGGGGAGTCTCTTAGAAAAAAACGTAAGAAAAAGGAAAAAAAGCTTATTGCATGGGTGGGTCTGGATGAATTCCACACTCGACCTTCCTTGGTCCCCACTGCCTCACCTTCCCCGCCCCCTCACCCCAGTTTCCTTTTTGGCAGGGAGAAGCGCGAGGACAGGGCCCCACAATTCTCCTCCTTCATTAAAATGAAGCTTGTGGGGGTGTGGGATAAAGCCCAGCAAGCTGCACCCTCTCTCCTCCACCCGTGGTTAGAACCCTTTGCACATAAGGCAATGTGGAAGCTGATGTTTTTACTCATCTCGCTGTGAGAGCACCATTTTGAAGTCGGGTTGTACAGTAGTTGACAGTACCTTTTTTATATATATATCTCATATCTATCGTATATATATAAACTGTAAACAAGAGGTAACAGCGGCTTCTGGAAACTGATTTGCTTCAAGGTCTCCTGTGTGGTAGGCACCTGAAATACTGTAGAAAAGGGTCTGGTGTGGTGTTCGTGTCCCCCTACCCCCTGGCTGGGTCCTGTTCTGCATGACCAGGAATGGTGCTGGCAGGCAGCTCAGTGGCTGGAAGGGAATCCGGCTGCCTGAGTGTCTCTATTTTCTGTCCCTGCTTGTGCTCCTATCTGATCAGGCTAGAGACAACAAAGGAAAAGAAAAAGATATATAGTAAAAAAAACAAAAACAAAAAAACAAACCAAAATTTCCCAATATATAGATTTCTATAGAATTTCCTTTCCCCTCCCTCTCCCACCTTTCCTCTGCAAGGTATCTTTACTCTTTTGTTGTGGTTAAGATTTTTGCTGCAATAACCTTGTTTCAGTTACAGCAAGAAACAAAACCCAAACAGAAATCGCCTCTGGAAAGAGCAGAAAACAAAAGGGTTGACCCCCCAAATGGGAGGGGGAGCAGAGAGGAAAGGGAGGGAGGGGTGTTGGTTTTGCTTTTAAATAGGACTGAAGATTAACATCGAGAAATCAGGAGATGATGTCCACCCTTCTCACTTGGCAAAGCCCTCCGGCATTTCCGCCTCTGTGGTTTTTGTTCTAAATTCCTTCTTCTCTTCTGGGTGCTGATACTTCTCTCCATCCTCACGTTCTTGGTGTTATATTGTGTTTGGTGGTTTTTGTTTGTCTGACTTTGTGTCACTACCTCAGTTTGCCCCTGTGTCCCTTACACACAAGCAAAATATTCCTTCAGCGGAGCGAAGAGGTGGCGGATGACTGGCACGCTCCACGACCGGCCCAGCAGTCTCTGCCTCGCCAAGCGGCTCATGTTGGAGACATCGGTGTAGTGGACAGGGAAGCCGAACACCCTGTGGGCCAAGAGACAGGAAGGCACCGTGAGTGCTGGACAGAGTGGGTGCACTCCCATTCACACCCCCTACACTCACCCCCTAAATCCCTCCCCATCCCGCCCTGTTCTGCATAATCTTCTGTCCTCCCCAAGCATCCACACCAGGCCCAGACCACAACATTGGGCACTGCAATAGCGGCCGTATAGGTCATAATGTGACTCCTGCCTGGGGAGCTCCAATGCAGAAGACAAAGTCAGGGCTATCAAAGATGCCTCCAGGACACCCTCCATGGTGTCCCTTCCTCAGTTCTGGACCCAGCAAGGGTATCTCAAAGCTGCCTTAAATGCGCATCACTAGTAGCTTAGCAGAGAACGTCTGAGAAGGGGATGGAACTCCTGCCTGATTTGTGAAGTTCAAGGCATTTGTTTGGAATCCTCCAGGAAGATTCCAAAAACCGTGTTCTAGTGTCTCAGACAAGGGTGCAGTACAGCAGGCATCTAGCACTACAAGACACTGGCAGCCAGAGCTGGCATGCCTAGGTTTGAGTTTGGGCTCCGCTTCTGCCTTCAGTTTCATACTAGTAGTATGCATCCTGGGAAACACAGTACCCAATGGCTCCAGTACTGGAACCCGGGGCCAACCCTACAGGAGACCAGGATTACAATGCAGGTCCCCAGCTTTGGCATGGCCCAACCCTGACTGTCATAGACACTTGCAAGGTGAATCACTGGATGGGAATTGAAAAAAACACAACAATCTTGGGGCGGGGGGGAAGAGATGTGTTCTTTAAATCGCCTCTAGATTACCTATAGGATCTAAGGGTACATAAATGTTACTCAAGTAGTTGTTAGCCCACTTTATGTTAAGGAGAGAACACAAGACGTCCGCCCGCATCCAGAAGCCAGCCCAGAAGGAAGCACAGCCCCAGCCAAGGTCGCAGGAGGCCGTGGTACCTTTCCATCTCGGTGCACCACAGGATGTCCTCCTTCTCATTCATGAAGACAGGAAAGTGCTGGTCTTTGCCCTGCTTAATGGAGTTGGACCTGGTAGTGATGGTCCTCACTTTGCTGAACTAGAGGAGGAGAGGGAGGAAGAGGTTCAACACGTGCTGTGCAGGCCAACATTGCCCAGCCATGGGCCAGCCAGACCAGCTGGGTACACCAGGCAGGAGCCTCCTCCTTTGGGGTGCTGTGTATCCTTCAATCCACCCTGGCAGTCTACTAGAGAACTGGTTCTTCCAGAGGGGCACCTATAACTTCACAGGCAAGAAGTTACCACATTACTCGGGGCTCAGACGCTCCCTGGGTATCAGTAAGCTCAAGGGCTAGAAGCTGCTGCCAGCCAATCACCCACACATGTCAGATTTCTCCCAGGAAATGGGGCCTCCTCACCAGGTGAGGATGCTCTGCCTTTATAGTGGGTCCTGGCCAAACAACTACAAGTGTGGCAGGCGCAGGCAGCCGCCAGCAGTTATAATGGCCTGCAACCCTCACCAACGCATTCAGTTCGGTAACCAGCTCCAATTCCGGACTCCAGCTTGTTGCCAATGCAGACCCTGAGACAGCAGGCAATGCCGCATTAATGGTGATCCTGTTACCCAGATGGGAGAGACCATGGACATGGACACCGCCTGCTTTAAGGCATCCCACTCAGCAGATGGGAGTGGACAGTGGCATCTTTCTGCCTCTCAAGATCCCACAGCAAGAGCCCAACACGATAGCCTAATGGCCAAAGTCTTGGTATGGCTTGCACCGGGATCCCATATGGGTGCTGGTTCTAGTCCCAGCAGCTCCACTTCCCACCTGGCTCCCTAATTGTGGCCTGGGAAAGCAGTTGAGGACAGCCCAAAGCCTTGGGACCATGCACCTTCATGGGAGACCCAGAGGAGACCCTGGGCTCCTAGCTGCAGATTGGTGCAGCTCCGGCCGTTGTGGCCATTTGGGGAGTGAATCATTGGATGAAAGGCCTTCCTCTCTGTCTCTCCTCTCTGTATATCTGGCTTTCCAATGAAAATAAACTAAAAAAAAAAAAACAACAACAAAAACAACAACAAAAACCAAGATCCCACAGCAGGAACCCTAGCACACATTCCCAAGTGCTCACTTCCCTCTGAAGGCCAGCCATCTCCCACTGCGCTTCCTCCCCTGGCCCGCGCTCTGCCCCCAGGGGCACCAGGCTGACCTTGGCTATCCTGCCATGCTCCAGACACTCCTGCAGCTCCAGCTTATCGTTCACAGTGGACGCCAATGGCCTGGAGGCAGAAGAAACTCAGATGATTGGGGGACCACAGCCAGGTAACCCCTTAGCAGTTATTTGACTCCCACAAGCAGGTAAAGACAGCCCGAGTCGAGCACATAAACTGGCATAAGCCTCTTTAAAGTACCCCAACACAAACATACGCTGTAGCCATCCAGTCACAAATCACTAAGCATCAAACCTTAAAGGCAAACTCCAAGTGGTCTCACACTACCAACAAGCAGTCAGCACTCATCCTGACGGGAGTGTCTTCTAAATATGTAAGTTTGGCAAGCTGTCCCACCACACAGGAGGGCTGGTGATGGTAGGAAGTCCTGCAGCTTGATTCATGGGAATTACACACACTCTACATGTACAGTCAAAACACAGCATTCTGTGCATCCCCATAGAGTTCTGTATGACACCAAATACATCCAACCTTCTCAGGGGGGGCCACTAGGCAACTGAAGGCCACCTCCAGCAACACAGAAGCCAGAGTTAATGAAGGGTTCTGCGGCACTCAGTACAGGGGCAGCCTCTATGACTCCGTCTCCCTGCCACTGAACCCCGAGGTCATCTTAGTGCTGAAGAAGCAGGTGCCAACAGTCTCACAGACCCATGGTCACTGGGCTCCAGGGAAACAAAGGGCCCATGGCTGCTCCTCTTTTTCCCCAGCACACACATCTTGGAAGCTGTTGGGGGAGACACAGTTCTGGATCGGTTGCCCACCAACCCTTCTCCTCATCATTCCACATGAGATGGGGAGAGCCTGACACCTCACAAGAATAGCCAAGAGGTAGAACAAGATGAAGGCCAGGCTGTTGACATTTCCCGGTTACAGGAAAAGAAGGCTACCAAACCATGGGTCCTGAGCCACCCTACTTCTGAGCTGTAAACTCTGGAACAGCTCCTTTTTCCTTGTGTATGGCTTTAGGGCTGCAATGATTATACCCGAGGAAATGAACTTCAGTCATTCCTAGGCATTAAAATCTGTGTAACTAAAATGACGAAAGCAGAGCAGAGTGCGATTGGCAAAGCCTGGAACTCACAGGGAGCCTCACTCCTGCAGGAGGTGGCCTGGCTGGGTGCACCACCCTGTACATCTCAGGAGAACATGAGATGCAGCTGGTTCTAGACACATCAACATCAGACTGACACAGAAGTCGGCAGCATTCAACTCTCCCTATCAAAAAAAGCCCCTAAGCCGTCCACCACCACAGGCTGGCTTCTTGTGCTATACCCCACTCCCTTCCTCCTCCATAAGAGCAGCCATGAAAAACAAATAAGGGACAGCGTAAGTCACGGTGCACAGGTCAGCCCTAGAAGGTCCACCTAGTACCCCGTCTCGAGCTGGCCCCCTGCAGACCCCCAACCTCCACCAGCCCCAGGAGCTCTCACCAACCTGTTCATACCGGGAAGGTTACCCCAGAAGTAGCGGGCCCTGTGTGCAGCTGATACTTCTTTGGCATCAATCATCACAGGGTTAGACTATAAGACAGGAGAGTTGAGGTGAAGCAAACAGGGATGCAAGGCAGAGCCAGGTGGGTGCCACACACTAGGGTAGACAGCAGCACACCTATGACATCTGGGTAGCTATTTGTACTCAAAAGGAACTAAAGATATCCTGTTAGCATATACAGCTCCATGTAGCCAACAGCTTCCCCACTGGACAGATGCCACTCTAGTGTGACCAGTGGCTGTGACATTGCTCCCAGGAGTGTGATGTACTCATTGTGTACCCAGAGCTTGCAGTGACCCAGGTCCCAGACTTGGGAGACAGGCTGGAGCTCCCCTTTGGCCCACCCCAAAGAATGTCTCTGGCAGCACCAAACCAATTGCCTGTGCATGGCTTACTCCTGACTCCATGCTGAGCTAGCTAGACTCTCAGCACACAGACTCCCCCAGCCCAAGAGGCTGGTACCACTCCTGTTCAGTGGCAGGCCCTCAACCCAAGTCCAACCCCACCACCCCAGCAGCTGGAACTGAGATTCAAATGGGCCTCCAACACTGCTGCTTCTCTCTGTACCCAAACAGGCCGCTTGCAAAGCTGCGCTCACCAGCTCCCAGCTCCATAAGGTGGGTGCCAAACAGGCCCCTCTGCAAAGCTGAGCTCACCAGCCCCCAGCTCCATAAGGCGGGTGAGACAGGGAGGAAGTAGCAGTATAAAGTACAAGCCATTAGTGAGCTGGCCCATCCCAGGATGCTGGCTATACCTCAAGAAATCGTGAGATGTCCCTCTTGTCACTAACGCCCATGGCCACCACATTCTCAAAGAGCCAGAAGAAGGGGCGATCATCTCCCTCCTTGGGCCGTGCGTCATGCAGGAGGCGGTAGAACTCAAAGAAGAGCCGGCCAGTGCCCTCTGAGAGTGGGAAGAGAAAGCTGTCAGCTGGCCGTCTGTATCACACAGTGGCGTGGCTCCGGCACAGGAAGGCAAGGAAAGACCGGGGCACTGGGAGGAGCTGTACCAGGGCACAAACACCCAAAGAGGAACCCCAAGTGCTGAAGCTCGGGCTGGAGGGAAGGGACAGCACCTACCATAGAGTCCTTTGCGGGCAGGGTTGACGATGGAGAGGTCATTGCAAGGACTGCCCCCAATCACCAGGTCAAATGGGCCCCACTCTTGGATCTGGAAGGATACGGACAGAGGTAGAAAGGAAATCATCTACAAATCTGGCAAGTCTTTTGGCAGGGGATAGAGGGGGCCTGGCCACTGTGCAAGAGCACTGCCCTCACTGTACCCCAGGCAAGAGAAGGTCTTGCAGGCTCTCCACTCTCGGCTCCCAGCATGTGCACAAGGACCAAACTGGGTCACCAGGGGAGAGGGGGACAGTAAGGGACACAGCACACGCCAAGCAACCAAGGAGCCACTTGGCAGGAAGGCCCACCAGGTGGTGCATGATGTCCTGGACACCTGGGGCCAGTGTCTGGGCCATCCAATTAACCTCCAAGTGTCCTTTAGCTTCCAGAGGACCTACAGTTGCCACAGCCAGATCTAGCCAAGTGCAAGGTCAGAGTCATGCACAGTAAGTTGAAGCTGGGATGCCTCCTGCCACAATCAAGAGACCTTTTCCCTGATCCAAAGCTCTCTACTAGCAAGGCTCCTCCAATCAGTCCAGGGACCCAGTTGAAGCCCCCAATGGAAGCTCCTAGTCCCCATGTTAATCTGACCATTTTCCTATCAAGACAAGGAAGAACAAACGAAAGACCGAGGACAAGAGACTGGGGGCTAAATGGTGAAGAGAAGCAGCAGTTAGCAGATGAAGGAGGTGGGGCTGATCGCAGGAGCTGGGTACCCAGGACAGGGGAGGTGGGAGATGCCCACAGTGTGGACTTACGTGCTTCTGTGTGACGCTGCGGACATCGCCGACGTACATGATCTTCCCCTGGTGCCGCACCATGCCCACAGTAATGGAGTCCTCACACACCTCCGAGGCAATGTAGCGGTCTACCTGGATGCCCAAGTCCTTCAGCACCAGGAGCCCTGTGCCAGCCGGAAGAATGCCCCATCACTTGGGGCCAGCACCTTGGCATCCTGCTTTGGCAGGTGACCCCTCTGGTCAGCCAGTCACACACCGTGTGGTCTGCTGCCATGCCAAGTACTGCCTAGGATGCTTAAGTCCTTGCTCCATCAAACTGGAATAATAATATGGATGTGAATGGTGTGCCACTCCTAGTCCGGTCTATCTGTAAAGTGGCTGAAGCCAGGAAGACTGACCCGACAGGCGAAGGTCCAGGGAAAATGGCTGTGGACTTCTTCCCTTTGCTGTTCCCACTTCTATAGCCTGGTCCTTCCTTACCACTCACATCAATGTCTGCTGCCTTCTAGACCCACCAAAACGCCACTACCCTAAAGTTTCATCAGTGTGGTCCCCCACCCCTGAACAACCTACTCTTCTGCTGGATGTCCCCAGCACTTTGCTCCCTTGCCACCTCATCAGAACCTCTTTTTAGAAACTGCAAGTGATCTTCGGAACAGACAAGGGGACCTTGCTGCTGGATTTCCCCCTCCATCTTTCTCATGGCCCGGCCTTCCTGACCACGGAGCCTCCCCATCAGTGCCTCCTGAACCAAGATAAGAAAACCACAGAATGGAGGACAAGGACCTCAGGAGGAACCACTTCTGCTGCTCCTAACAGGTCTCCCCACCAAGCTGCTTCTAAGGGCCTCATACGTGTGCCATGACATGGTTAGGCCTCAAGGTTCTAGCCTGGGCAAGCACAGCTGTATGTAAATTCCTTCAGGTCACAGAACAGTGTTACTGGACTAATAAGACAACACCTGGCCAGGAAGGTCATACCCACCTATACCCTCTGACCAAGGGCCCCACATGCAGGTGGCCCATCTGCGCCTGATGGGATGTGCCCAGGTGGACAGGTGGCTTCTCAGCAGGGCTTGCTGGTAGTACTCAGGCCACCTGAGGAAATTGTGCTTCCCAGTGACCCAACATGTCCTAAAAGGCATTCCGAAGGAGTTGATGGCCTAAGACTGTGAAAACGTGTGTATTATAAGGGTGCTTGTCACAGCACTACTGCTAGTGATGTGGTTATGATAACAGAAAATAACCCAATGGGCTTAGGGAAACAGACTGGTCCAGTGTTTACAAACCAAGAGGGCAGTTCTATGTTAGCTGCAGTTAGAAAGCAGTAATACAATAAAGGACAAGGCAAGTTACAAGACATGCATTATTCTTGTTTAGATCAACACATAACCATATGTGCACAGAAAAGACCACCAATGGACACACAGGAAGACACTAATGGCAACATGATGGGAGACTTGGTTTGCAACTCTCTTGTTTATAATCAAAACAGAGTTCCACATAATTTTGGTCTCAAGTTTGTTCTTTGAGGCTTTGTGACAACCTCCCATTACTCTCTCACCTGACCAGCTGCTGGAAGTATAGAACCTTCAGTGTAGAAACCCCTACACACTGAGCTACCTGAGGAGGAGGTGGGACTCACTTTTTTTATTTTCCAGATACACAAGACTCAACTCTCACACAGCTGTGGTGTTAATCATCTCCCTCCAGGGGAAGAGACCGGCAGCCACTCATTTGTGCCACTCACCTGTAGCAATTCCATCAAAGAGAGACAGCACCCGGATGGGCTTCCTCTTCTCAGCTGGGACAGGCGGGTAAACCTTCGGAGGGTCCTAAGTAATGGGTCCCAACAGGTCAGGCAATGCCTGGCAGTGCCCCCTGGAACCCAGCCCCAGGATGGCCCTCCCAGAGGCTCTGGGCAACTTCTTTCTAGACCTGCACACCACCAGAAGCACCTTGGCCAGGGCTGGGCAGAGGGTCAAGGGGAGCCCAGGCCAGGCCCGGCACTCACAAATTCCTGGTCGTGGTTATTGGCGAAGAACATCTGAAGCCGGGAGGGCCAGTCGTCCCGCCGCCTCAGCAGCCCGTAGGTGCCCTTGTGCCCGCACATGTAGCAGTTCCAAGGGTCTTCCTTAATGGCCGCCTGTGCAGCCCCAGGCCCCACCAAGAGGTCCACACATTCCACACAGAAGCACCTGGAAGGAGGCCCAGCCAGCTCAGGAGAGCTCCCCACCTTGATCCACCCAGGGAGCATCCCAGAGGGAGGCCCTTGGCCTCCAGGGTGCTGAAGGCCAAGTGGAGCCTCACCTGCAGCAGTTGTTGTTCCCACACATGAGCACCTCGCGCCCTCCGCAGCAGATGGTGCAGTAGGACTGATAGCCGTCATCATCGTACTGGTATGCGCATTCCAGGAAACAGTTCTGCAAGAGCAGTGGAGAGGGTGAGCACACACTGGGGCCAGGGCAGACTCTTAGTTATGGCTCTCGGGACTTAACCCTGCGACCTCACTACCCGCCCAGCCAGCATCAGGCCTAAAGCACAAAGCTGGGATGGGAATGCATTCTCTCCCTACACAACTGTGCTAAGCAGAACCCTGGAGGGACCCTACAGCACAGCTCAAAGGAGCTGCCCACCATCACCTTGGTCCTTGTGCGGCCCTGGGCCTTTTCTTCCAGGGCCACCCCTCAATCAAAATGCCTCATTCCTGCCTCTCTGCTGGTCACCCCATTTACACTAGTGATGCTGACATTTTAGGACCTGCCCTTGGTTCCATCAGGTAGATTAAAAGCTGAAATCTAAATATGAAACTTGCAGAGGCAAGAAAAAGCAAGCCTAAATTGCAAAACCCAAAGGCCCACATGATCAGGACCCCAAGACGCCTGCATCATGTCGGCTGGTTGCTACCCCCTGCATGGACAGAGGCACGGGAGCCAGCAGCCAAGGCTCAGGGTCCCCCTCACATCACTCTGGCAGGTGGCTCTCATACCTTGCAGTTTTGGCACATTCCTCCAATGAAGAGAGGGTGTTCCAGAGTGACATTGAGGCTGCCACAAGAAATGCAAATGTCTGCAAGGCAAGTGGGTTCAATCAGCATCAGAAGGGTACCTATACCACCCCAGGCCAGAGCTCAACTCTGGAAGGAAGGGGACAAGCTGGATGAACGCCCAGTAAGGGGGTCCATTCCTGTCGGAGGAGTGATGCCAGCCACAGGCACAGGATGCCTGTGCCTGACAACAGACTTTGGATGTGGGCTACTTGGAAGGCATTTTAGAGACCAGTTTCAGTCCTGGTCTCCTGTCCCAATGCTTCCAGGCTGAGGCCTCAAGCCAGATCACCACCACCACTAGGCCAAGGGAGAGATTTCAGAGAAGCCATGGGGGGACAGGCAAGAAGCCATCTTTAAGACAATTCAATCAAGTCCACCCTTCTCTGGCCAAAGGCCATCTCAAAGCCCATGCCAGGAAGGCCACGTGTGGCATCTGGGAGATGGACTGTGTGCAGCAGGCTAAAGGTGGAGCACAAGGCAGGGCCAGCCGCGGCCCCCAAAAGCAGACGCCCAGGGCCCAGGTGCCCTGTTCTGCCAACCTTCCTGGACCTCGTGGCCCTAGCAGACTCACCCTCAATGTTTCGACACTTCTGCCGCACTTCGTACACCAGCCGTTCTGCAAGTGAGAAGGGCATCAGAGGCGGCCAATGGGCTGCACCTGCTCCACAAGCACCCACCTCTCCCACAGCCAGGCCCACTACCTCGTGTGCGCTCATCAATAATCTCCTTGACCTTGGGCTTCTCTGTTGTGCTCTTCCGGGGCTTTTTGGCTGGCGGGGGTGGGGCATAGGCGGCTGCCTCAGGCTCCACCCACATGTCTGTGTAAACTTCTTTGTAGGGGTTTTTCTCCTCTGCAGAAAGCACCAGACCACCGAGTCAGGGCAACATGAGGCATGAGGGAGTGCTCCTACTGTACCCACAACATGAGGCAGCACAGTCCCCACTCCTGGGGCAACCTGGGCCCCAGAGCAGCAAGGGTGTCTGATCCCAAAATACAGGACCTGAGCAGTTCCACCCAGCTTGGCTTCCCAAGCCCTGGTATGGGTCTGCCAGGCCAGCAAGGCTCCTAAAAGGCTGGGTGGGCACCCACGTTTACCTTCTGGTGGCTCTAGACCCTTGGGGCCAGAAGGCTGGAACCCCCCAAGGGCCCACTCGATCATCTGCTTGTTCTGCACCTCCACAGCCTTGGCAGTGTCACTCTCATCATTGTCATGGCAGGCTGGGAAGAGCTTGCCTGCGCGGCTGCTTGCCACCTACAGAACATGTTGGAGCTGTGTCAGCTCAGGCTGGAGGGCAGGTGAGGCTGGTCAGGGAGGTTATGCTCGAGGACTGGCTCTGAGAGCCCTGAGGATACGCATGGGGAGAGTGGGGAGGCGATCTGAGGGAGGCCAGGAGTGGCCACACTGCCCAGGCTGCAGCTCAGGGATCTGGCCTCTGGCCTCCAGTGGCTCCTGCTGCCTGGGCTGCCCCCTATGCTGGAGCCCCAGAAGGCACTCACCTGTAGGACCTCATAGATGGCTTTACGATACATCGGCTGCTTATTGTAGGTGGCCTGGTGGAAGGCGCTGCAGAATGAGCTCAGCGGCATCAGCTTCTCAACGCACACCTGCAGGGACCACAGGTACTCAGTGGCCCTCAGTCTCCTCGGCTCAGGCACCCACACCACCCCATACCACCTTGCAACTGTCTAGGGCCGAGACCGTAAGAGCCAGGATGGCTCTTGGGTAAATAACTTCCTCCAGTGCAAAGCCAGGGTTCCGCCAGAACCCAGTGGGCAGCTTTTAAGGACAGGCTCTCCTGAGGGGGAATCTGGCCAGGCCTAGGCTTCACACAGAGCACGGTGGCTAGAGCCCACTTCTACCACCCCAGCCACAAGGACAGGGCCCCAGGATCCCTTCCCGACCACCCGTAGGGCAACCCTCCGAAACTCACCACTGAGAACTTGCCGTCTCCGAACCACATGACCCAGCGGGTCCCCTCAGCTGCTCGGCTCCGGCCCGTCATCCACCAGGACACTATGCGGCCTGGCCACCAGGAGAAGCCCCGCAGTTTCCCCCACACCAGCTCCCCAATGCCAAAGCCCCGGCCGTCCTGGAGCCCCAAGGAGCAGAAATCATTATGTGGTGGTCATGAGGCCCTGCCACCCTGATCCCCCCGGAGCAACCCCAGCCCTGGGCATCTCGGGGGCAGGATAGCCCGGGAGGAAGCTCCATCTGCAGGGAGCGAGACAGAGCAAAATCGGGGTGACGAAGAGGCTGGGGGGTCAGGTGGAGAGAGCGAGCAGCCAGCGGGAGGTGGAGAGAGCAGAGCAGGACGGGAGGATCTGGCAATGGAAGGCAGGCCCCCAGAACAGAGCTGCACAAAGCTGGTGAGGAAGCCGCTCACCTCGTACTCCGGCTCGTCGTCAGCAGATTTGGTAGCATTCTTGTCCCCGGCATCGGCGCCCACAGGCTCAGGTGTGGTGGCCACAGTGGGGGACGCAGGGTCGGTGGGCTGCTGTACAGCAGGAGGGCTGGCCTCCTCCACCTTCTGAGCATCCCCGGAGCCCTGGTTTTCCTCGACAGCATTCATTACTGCAATGACCTTGGCTTTCTTCTCAGCCTAGGAGAAGAAGTAGGTACCTTGACCTCTCCAGGAACTAGTCAGACCACCCAGGCAGGGCTCACCCAGGCAGGGGCCAGCAGACAGAGGTAAAAGACCAGAGAGAAAAGTGCTTCTTCCCTCATCAACCCTACCAGCTTGCCACTGGGGAGGGAAAGATTTCAAGTCAGGTGAACACATAAAATTGAATACACAAACACACAACTTGAATATATGAAGGCCCCGGGCTCCAGCCCTGCTCCCTGGCCTAGCCTTCCCCAGTCTGGTCAGTCTCCAACACGGCACCAATCATTTGGGCAATCCTAAGGTCTTTCTCCACTCATTCCCTAAGTGAATGCCTCCCTCCCCTTCTACTCCTGGTCTCCAGGCAGTTCTACCTTAGCACACCTATCACTGCTCCAAATCCCAGAACAGCCTCCTCCCCTACCCAAACACCAAAACTCCCAGCTCCTGAGCTCAGCTGCCAGCCAGGCACCCCTGGAAGTCCCAGGAGATTAGGCCCGCTCACAGCCTGAGGCTGGTGCAATGCCTCAACTGGCTACTCCTCTGTCCTGCAGCACCAGCACCTCTTATGGGTGCCGGGTCATGTCCCTGCTTATGGCCTGGAAAAGCAGTGGAGGATGGCCCAAGTTCTGGGGACCCTACAACTATGTGGGAGACCCAGGAGAAGTGGCTAGCTTCAGATCAGCTCAACTCCAGCCACTGGGGCTACTTGGGGAATAAACCTGCAGATGAAAGATCTTGGTCTCTGTAAATCTGCCTTTTCAATAAAATGAATAAATAAAGAAGCCCTTGCTACCAGTTTGGAGAACCGCTCAATCTCTCGACTTCTCAAGGTAGTCAGTTTCCACCCACCAAACTTCATGGACTCCCACACGCAGCATTCCCCAGCAGCCACACACACTGAGCCATTCTCAAGAGAAAGGGGTTTCAGCAAGAAACCTGGGGTCTAAGGAAGAGCTCTGGACGCAAACAGCGACCACCTGGCATTCCTGCCCGAGATCTGTGGTCACGCTTGGAGCAGTTCCTTCCTTCCGATTGCTCCAACCTAAAGAAGCAATGGAACTGAGGACTTCAGGTCACCTTTCCTGATCGGCTTAAGAACCTGAGGTCACCACAGGGGGCAGGACGGCAGACTGTGGGCTGCTTCGGTCAGTTGCTCCTGGTGAGGCCTAGGATGGTAGTTTTAGTTCTCTGACTCTAAAATGAAAGAACATGCCCTCCACCCCAGCCCCCAAACAGCTGGGAAAGTGAGCTCCTGGATGACAGCCGGGGAGGAGCAGATGCGCAGACGCAGGGAGATTGCTCGGCCTGCCTCAGTCCCACTCGCACCTGCCCGCCCTTTCCTTCCATCAATTAACCATAACCTCCTGCCCCACCAGGAGGGGTACCGGGTGGGAACTTCCACCTCCACTCCTGGAAGTCAGCTGCACCAGCCCACTCCTTCCACCCCCTGGGGATCTGCAAACTTGAGGCAGGACCAGCATCCTAGACTAGACTAGTGTGCTGCCTCGGGTTTCCCAGAGGCCCTGTGCAGCTGGCTATAGGTCCTTCAGCCAGGACCAGGTGTGCAGGTGGCAACGTAAAGGGGGGGGGGCAGAGGAAGCCCTGGGCAAGGATTGCTCCTTCCCAGTCTCCCCAAGTGGTGATGGACAACACCATCATCCCCCCAACTCCCCCTTTGTCTCTCTTCTCCACGCCTGAAAATTCTCCTTCCCCCACAACTTTCCAAAGCCTGTCAGCTGCCGCTGCTGATGGGTGCAGAACATCCAACCCACTCCACACAGAATGAGCGCCTGGCCCACCGCTGCTGGCAGAGGAGGAAGGGGCCTCCACGGATGGGCAGCAGGGGTGAGGGAAGGAGGAAGGGGTGGGTGAGCAGCAGGAGGCCGAGAGAAGGGGAAGAAGGGGCCAAGCCGGGCTGGTGGGGGAGGGGCTCATTAGAATAGTCCAGGCTGTCGCGGAACGCACCCTCCTTTCCAGGCTCACTTTTCCCATCTTGTGCCTTGGCAAACAATAGGAGGAAGAAGGGTTAACTCTGGCTCCAGCTTTAGAGCCCAAAGTTCCCCACCCCTGGAGGGGCCGGAGACCAGGAGGGATCTGCACGGGGCACCACACCATCCCCCACTACCGCCAACCCAAGCAGACCACTTGGGCTAGAGTTTGTCCCGCCCAGGAAAGCCATGGGTTACTGCTGACTAGTGCCTCCCAGTCCAGTTCCATCTCCCCAGGCAGCTGTCGCGCCTCTGCCTCCCCCAGCCACTCAGCCTTCCCATTCCAAAGGTCAGAGGGCTGAGCGCCACTGCCTCCCAGCCCACGCGGCCTTGAGCCATCACAGACCAACAGACCCGGGCCAGGCTGCCCCCCAAGGGCCCCTGTCAGGGTGGCAATGCCCCCTCCCACTTCATCTGGCCAAGTGCCTGGAGACTCCCAGGAACTCGCGAGAGGGCTGTGCCTCTCCAGAAGCTACAAGCTGCCAGGGGCCCAGGACAGCGCAGTCCCCCAGCCAGGAACACAGGTCAACAGGACTTGCCAAGCGCCCGCCTGCTAGCAACTTGGCCCAACCTACTTCACCAACTCCACCGGACGGGGATCCCTGCTCCCCAGCCTGAGCCACCACGGGCCAGGCCCCCACCCAGTCCCGTCACAACTCCAGTCCCTGGGAGCGCCAGGTGCCACTGGAGTCCGGCAAGAGTGGGGCCTGGGCCTCCTGCTCAGAGACTCGGTGGGACGGCACCGGATCAGCACCTCCACTACTCGGCCGGCAGAGACGCAGCCGCCGGGCCAGCAGGCACACTTGACTCTTTTCAAGCGGGGGGGGGGAGATGAGAGATCCTCCCCCAGTCGGCAGACCGCCTCCCCGCCCCCGGTCTCCGTCCAGGAACCTACCCATAAGGCCAGGTGCAACCCCTCTGCGGTCCGGCTCAGGTGTGAGCCCCGGCCCTGAAGCTCTCTAAGTAGCTGCCCGTCTTGGGGGAGGGGAAGGGGGCGCTGGGGCTGGGGGCGGAGGGGGCCACAGGGAGGGGGAGGGGGCGTTGGGGGGGAGGGAGGGAACATTTTCTTTGTCTAGAACTCCAGGTCACGTGGGCCCCGCTGGAGAGCCTGGTTGGCTGCGCGCGGGCCGGGGGAGGGGGCCGGCCCTCCGACGCTGGCGCTGGGCCAGCCCCTCTCTCCAGTCCGAGGGGCGCGGGGCCGGGGGGCGAGGCCGGCCTCCTCCTGTTCCCAGGGCCCCGCCCTGGTCAGGCCGCGGGGAGCGCCCCCCCTGCGGGGCCGGCCCGGGCCGCCCTGCCCCCTCTCCCCAACTCTGGAGGCACTCAGCCCGGGGCGGGGGGCCAGGGGGGCGCCGGGGCAGCCGGCCCGGACGGTCTGCACTCTCAACTGCGGGGCCCGTAGAGAACCAAGGTCCCAGAGGAAGAAAACCGGAGATTTCCGACGGCCCGCGGGCGCCTGCAGAAAGTTGTTAAAAGTGAGTTTCTTAAGAAGCACAACCAAAAGAAATAAAAAGGAGGAAATAGAAAAAGGTCACAGATAAAGAGACGCAGGACGCGAGAAAGGCTGCGTGCATATGAGGCCGGGGACCGACTGCGCGTGGAGGGGATCACGGGCAACCACAGGTGGTTGGGGGGGTGCGGGCTCTGAAACTTGCCGGCCACGTGCCTCGGGGGGGGGCCTCCGGTCGCTCAGGGTTTTCCTGGAATTTCTTGTTTGTAAGTGTGGGGGCGTGGTGGAGGTGGGTAGGGCGTAGGGCGCAGGTTCTAGCGTCCCGCAGGTCCTTCATTCCAGGCGGAAACAGCAGCAGCCCAGGCAGACAAGCCCGCCCCGCAGGAGCCTCCAGGTGCAGCCTCCGCCGGCACTTGCAGGCTCTCACCCCAGGGCAGACCCGAGATCGCGCCTCGCAGCCCTGCTGGGGTGGGCTAGGGCATCAGATAAGCTACAGGCTGGTGCCCTCAAGGAGTCGGGAGATTCCACTAGACTTGGACTGATACGAAAAGAGCACTGAAAAACACGTGTAAAGATAACTATACCCCCAAACCCCCAGCAGATAGTTTAGGAGACAAAAAATGGGTGGTGTGAATGATAAAAAGGTTAAAGAGGTCAGGGCAGAGACCGGGCCCACAGGATTTATCAGATTTGGGGGCAGGTCGGATGGGTGAGAGATTCAGGCTGGGGAGGAAGAAGAACCTGCCTGCCTCCATTCTCCCTACTGAAACAAATAAAAGCCAAGAATGAGGGAAGGATGGGGCATGGAGCTGGCCCTGGGAGAGATGAAGGTTGCGGCGTAAGGCGGGGCTTCCGAGACCAGGCCAGCAGTGCTTTGGGAAGCTTGGCCTGGTTTCAGTCTGCAGGATGAACCAGAGGAGTTGGGGGCTGTCCCAGGTGCACTTGTCAAAAGAGTTCTGGTTCTACCACCACCACCACGACCTTGACACAAACACACTTAGCCCCGAGAAAGAACTGATTTGTTGTTTGCCAAACAGGGGCAATGACATCAGCTGCTGGTGCCCAGGGAGACTAGAGACATGAGCTAATTCCCCAGGGGCCTGGCTCCCAGCCACCATCGTAGGGGTGTGTCGCATTTCGAAAAGGTGCTGTGCTCTAAAGCAGTTTCGTCCCTTGGGGGTTCAGCACAGCCTTCTGGGGGCATCAGAGCAAGCAAACCATGGAGGGGAACTCCAAACCAGAGGTCCTAGTGAGCACAGAAAACAAGGGGATGCACGTGCCCTCCAGCCCCCCGACTGAGGTGCAGCCCCTGCTTCTGCTACAGAGGAGCTCCCTGGAGCGCCCCTCCGGCCATGCTCCCAGCTTGGAGGACCTAATGAGCTGCTTCTCTTGGGGATGGACCCTCAGCACCCAGCACCGGCCCATGCCCCACCTCCACCAACAAAGTTTTGGATTCTGACTTAGTAGCCCCTTCCCCATGCTCAGGTGGGTGGCTGGGCACCCAGACTGCTGCTCTCAGTGGCCTTGAGGATGCCTACAGCTACCCTGAACCACTTCAC